CACGAGTGATTCTGTTTTGATTTTGAGTCTGGTTTCTGAGTACAGGAAGCTAATTCAAAGTAATGGTATGGGGGGAGCTCTGAGCACCATGCCCTTCAGCCTGATGTTCTGGCAGACTGGCTGGGCACTATCGGGCACTACCAGAGGCATGGAGAGGTTTCCCCTAAGGCCCACTCATCTTCTAGAGACGGCTCTAATGTTATCATAGCTTGGCTGCCTGCACCCGGTAATCTGAGCATTCCAGAGGCTGAGGCAGGAGGAGTTCACGGTCAGCTCTTGTCACACAGCAAGTTCCAAGATAGCCTGGGTTACATGCGGAGACCCTTTCTCAAGAAGCAAGAAAGGAAGGCAGAAAAGGAAAGAAGGAAGGAAGGAAGGAAGGAGGGAGGGAGGGAGGGAGGGAGGGAGGGAGGGAGGGAGGAAGGGAGGGAGGGAGGGAAGGAAGGAAGGAGGGAGGGAGGGAGGGAGGGAGGGAGGGAGGGGGGGAGGAAGGGAGGGAGGGAGGGAAGGAAGGAAGAAGGACTTGTCAGATAGGTTGGAACAGTTCCAAAATTCAAGCTACTCTGGAGGCTGAGGCTGGAGGATCCGAGTCTGGGCTACAGAGTTCAAGGCTAGTCTGGCCAATTTTAGTGAATGTCTGTCTTAAAGTAAAAAGAGGGCTATGATGCTGGGCAGTGGTGGCGTATGCCTTTAAACCCAGCACTCCGGAGGCAGAGGCAAGCAGATCTCTGTGAGTTCGAGGCTAGCCTGGTCTACAGAGTGAGTTCCAGAGCAGCCAGGACTGTTTCATAGAAAAACCCTGTCTTGAAAAACAAAACAAAACAAAAATAAAATAAAAAGCAAGAGGACTATGGATACAATCTGTGGAGGTAAACTTGCCTAGCATGTGCAAAGGCTTAAGTTTGATCCCCATTATACAGAGAGACAAAAACCACTAACAGGAGAAAATCCTTTTTTACTATATGCATGTGCATGGAAGACATGCAAAATAAGAGACTCCGAGAAAGGGTGAATAAAGTTTATTTAACCATCCAGGAGTCACAAAAAAAAAACAGAAGTTTTGGAAAGGGAGAGAGGAAGACAGGGGAGGAGGGACAGAGGGAATGAAAGAGGTGGGTAGGGTCTAAAGAGACAGCTCAGAAGCTAAGAGCACTGACTGCTCTTCCAGGGGTCCTGAGTTCAATTCCCAGCACCCACATGGTGACTCACGACCATCTGGAATGCATTCCCGTGCTCTCTTCTGGTCTACATTGTGGGCATACCGGGCAGAACACTATACATAGAAGAAGAAGAAACGAGTGTGGAAGGGGAGAAAAAAGAGTGATGGAGGGGAGAAAAAGAGGGAGGGGAGAAAAGACAGTGGCTGTACATTAGAACTGACTCATCGAGAAACTTGTACTTTGCCCCCCCATTCTTACCTTGCAACCTTTGTCCCCGTTCATTTCCTCCCCTCACTCACTCATAACGCGTGTTCCCTGTGCCATCCCACCCTCAAAAAGAGCTGACACCTGCTTCTGTGGTTGCTCCACCGCAATACAAAGCTCACCCCGCCCTTCTATACTTTCTGCATAAGGCTGTTTCATCTGCCTCTGTGCACACCAGAAGAGGGCATAGAACTATGATTACAGACAGTGGGGAGCCTCCCTGTAGGTGCTAGGAATTGAACTTAGGACCTCTGGAAGAGCAGCCAGTGTTCTTAAACACTGGGCCATCTCTCCAGCCCCATCCGGCCTTTCTTAGGGTCTTTTATTTTGTGTGACTCAAATGTATGTGTATATGATAAGAATAGATTTCTCTTGCTTTTGATTCTTTCCTTCCTTCTTTCTTTTTTTAAACACCACATAGCCCAACCTGGTTTGAACAATCTGTGTAACTCAGACTGGCCTTGAACCCACAGTCTTCTGTGTGGCGTTCCCCCACACATAACTCTGCCTTGTTTTAAATTTCATTTTTATGAATGGGAGTGCAGGGCCCAGGCCGTGGCATCCACGTGGAGGTCCAAGGACAACTTGTAGGAGTCAGTTCTGTCCTTCCACCACATGGGTCTTGGGGATCAACCTCGGGTCCTCAGGCTTGGCAGCGACTGGTTTGAATGAGCTGCCCCCCATCCCACCCCCATAAGTCTCCAGTATTCCAAGTCTTGGTCCTCAGTGAGTAGTAGTGTTTGGGCAGGCTTAGGGAGTGTGGCCTTGCTGGAGAAAGTGTGTCACTGGTGTGGTCTTCCGGTCTCAGAAGCCATGCACATCAGACTGGGTCTCTCAGCTGTTGTTTCAGCCTCTGTGGCTGCCGCACCCACCACAACTGTGAGGGACTCTCACGCCCCTGGAGCCTAAGCCCTAAACAGATCCTGCCTTCCTTACGTTACCTTGGGCGTGGTGTTTTATCATAGCAATAGAGAAGCAACGACCGCATCCACTGAGCCATCTCACTGACCCCTCCTTGGTTCTTTGAGCAGGTCTCATGTGGTTGTCTTGGAACACAGCAGTAGCTGACTGTGACTCGGAGCTCGGCATGCTCCTGCCTCCAGTTCCCAGGCACTGGGATTACAGATGTGTATATCAGGGCCAGCACACAGTGCTTTTCCTATCTAGCAAGCAAAACCATCCCCTGCTTTACTTCCTGAAGCCAATAATTAAATTAATTTGATGGGTCAGAAAACGGTTCAGTAATGTAACCTGAAATGCTTTAGCAAATCCCAAAGGGTCCTTGCATGGATCAGGAAAGCCCACAACCAAAATTTCTGTGGAGCCCAGGGCAGCCTGGTCACATAGGGGCCCAGGCCACACAGCTGCCATAGCAGGCAGCACCGAGCTCCAGAAAAAGCCATAAACTGACACCACCCAAGAATGGCCAGCACCTAAGGGGAAGTACCTGACATTCCAGCTAAAAGCCATAAGCTAACACCACCCAGGGACAGCCAGCAGCTAAGGTTTACCTGACATTCCAATCATTAGATAAGATTAAGATCACCAGATGTCTCTTGAGCCCAGGACGCACCTATTCTCCTTTTGCCAACCCCAAGACAAATGTCAGCAATCAGGGCCGGCCCTGAACCCTGAAAACCCCCTTACCTCAACCTCTACTATGATATATATAAACTTGAATAAAGGTTCTTTACTTTTCCATACAGAACTCGGTCTCCTAGTTGGTTTTGGGGGGACTTCATGATTTGGGCATAACATTTCCAACTCAATTTTTAAAAGATATTTTGTTTTGTGTGTGTTGTAGGAAGCCATTTGTTCGTTCCTGGCTGCCTGTCCTGGAACTATCTCTTGTAGACCAGGCTGACCTCAAACTCACAGAGATCTGCCCACCTCTGGTTCCCGAATGCTGGGATTTAAAGGTATGCACCACCACTGCTCAGCTCTGGCTAACTCTTATATCCTAAACTAACCCATCTCCATTAATCTGTGCATCACCATGAGGTCATGGACTACCGGCAAAGTTTCTGCTGGCAGCTTGCATCTTTCTCCTCTGACACCGTGGCTTTTCACTGCCTCTGCCTTCTTTTTCCCAGCATTCAGTTTAGTTTTCCAGCCTAGCTCTATTCTGCTAAGCCACTGGCCAAAACAGCTTTATTCATTAACCAATAAAAGCAGCATATATACTGAAGGACTTCCCACACCGTGTGTGTCTGTGTGTGTGTGTGTGTGTGTGTGTGTGTGTGTACGCATGCTAGCGTGCTTGAGCACAAGAGAGGAGGGGGTGCTTTTGGGAGCAGGTTCTCTACATTCACCCAGAATTGCAGGCATCAAACCCAAGTGCCCAGGCTCATGTGGTAAGGGTTTTCCCTGCTGAGTCATCCTGCCAGTCACCAGCTCAATCTTTGGCCGAGGGGATATAGATAGAGGCTACAACAATGCCTTCTTTTGATACAGAATATTGTTCCCATGTGGTGGTGGCACACAACTTTAATCCCAGTGCTTGGGAGACAGAGGCAGGCAAATCTCTGTGAGTTTGAGGCCATCCTGGTCTATAGAGTGAGCACCAGGACAGCCAGGGCTACATACAGAAATCCTATCTCAAACAAGCAAAACAAAGACAAGAAAAACGAAGATGAGGATGGAGGAAGAAAAAGGAGGAGGAGGAGGAGGAGGAGGAGGAGGAGGAGGAGGGAGAGCACAATATGGAGGAGCAGCCGGACAGAGAAAGGTGAATGGCAGTGGGGAAGTAGGGGTTAACGTCCTCAGAGTTCATCTTTAGTTCTGATGAAAAGTTCATTATGTGTAGGTGTGTGTGCATGTGGCTATGTGCCTGTGAGAGCAGGTGCCCTGGGCGGCCAGAGGTGTTGAATCCCTGGGCGCTGTGGTTACAGATGGTGTGAGCCACCTCGTGTGACTGCTGGGAATTGAACCTGGGTCCTCTGGCAGAGCCACAAGTGCTTAAAACCACTGAGCCAATCTCTCCAGGCAATGGCATTTTCTCATCAATTTCCTGTCCTCCAACGTCTTTCAAGTCTCATGATATTGGAGTATTGAGGTGTCGAGAATGATGGGGTCTTTCTCTTCTTGGGGAGCTAGGAACCCCGGGAAACTCAACAGCCACTAAGGCTGCCCTGAGCCAATGGCTTTGGGGTTCTCATCTCTTAAATTCAGAGAGTGAAAATCATGGTCCAAAGAGAGTAAATTTTAGAGAGAAGTAGAAGGGAGAAAGGAAAGGAGGGAGGGAATGAGGGAGGAAGGGAAGGAGGGAGGGAAGGAGGGAGGGAGGGAGGGAGGGAGGGAAGAAGGGAGGGAGAGAGGGAGGGAGGGAACACAGGAGCTAGAACAGGGCTCCTGTAGAGCAGGAGGGGTCCCAGGAAATAAGTACCGTCTGGTTGCTTCTCTGGGGCCATTTGAAAGGACACATGCAGGTCAGACATGGTGGTGCATACCTTTCTTTAATCCTAGTGTTAGTGAGGCAGAGGCAAGAGGATCTCCAGGTTTGAGGCAGCATGGTCTATCTAGTGAGTTCTAGGACAACGAAGGCAACATAGAGAGACTGTATCAATAAATAAATTACAATAAATAAATGCAATAAAGTACTTATGCCAGAAACTGGGGTGTAGTATGGGGAGGGGATGAGTTGGCACTCCTGGCCTTCAACAAAGACAGCCGAGGAATGGCTGCCCTGGGGTCCCAGCCCTGTCTGGCATGTTTCTGTCGCCTGGTCCCACCATTTCCCATTTATGAAGAAGTAACCCTAAAATCTTTAGGAACCAGACCAGGGAGCACAGCACCAGACACTACCAGCCTCTAGCCAGGACAGAACCAAAGACATTTTTGGCTTATGACTGAGCACGTGACTGGAGGGCACCCCTGCCCTGAGTAACCATCTTCTATGTTCTGAACCCCATCAGATTCTGTACAATTTTATCATTTCGTTTCTAATTCCAGCTAAAGCAGGCCCCAACTCACCTTCTCTCGCTTTACTACCTAGGACTCTGACTTGGCCACAGGGAAATCAAACACTCCCTTATCGAGGAAAGCATAAAGTCCGGTGACCTTTAGTTCAGTCTCCACATTTTCCCAAATGACTGCAAGTTACCCTAATTATCAAACAAAACCGTCTAGTATACCAGAGGGTGGTTATCTTGAATACTTTCTCCTTCCTTAGATTTTTTTATTCTGTTCCGTTTTGGTTTTTGAGACAGGGTCTCAAGCAGCCCCCAGACTGGCCTTGCACACCCTGTTCAAGAGTTTCCTTGAACTTTGGTCTTCTCGCCTCCCAAGTGCTGTGTGGTTGGTGGGCATCTTGTCATTGTGCTTCTGTGTCCAATTTTGATGGCCTTTTCTCCTGAAAATTACAACCTCCCGTGTCAGCTGGAGAGTTATGCTTTGGACTTATTTGTCGCTCACAGGAGTAGTTCATTCAGGTTTCACCCCAGCGTCAGTTCCGCCCACATGCTCTGATGTTCACACTGTGCATTTATGACAATGTTAAGGGACCCCAGGCACTGGGTGTCACCTCTTAAGTGTGCCTTTCTAGGTGAGCCAAAAGAGGAACTTCTGGCCCAGGAACAAGGTATTTTGTTTAGTTTCTTATTTTTATATTTTTACATTCATTTATATTGGGGATGGAGCACACACATCAGGCCATTGTGTGGAGGTCAAAGAATAAATTGCAGGAGTCAGGTCTCTCTTCCACCTTGACATCCCCAGAACCGAACTCAGGACATCAGGCTTGGCAGCAAGCATCTTTACCTGCTGAGCCATTTTGACAAAGGTATGGGATTTGGGGAGGAGGGGAGCTCAGAAAGAGGCTACCACATGTCCCAGCCAGTTTCTTCTGACATCTCCACCTGCTGGGTTAGAAGGAACTCAGGGCCTCTGATCGCCAGCATCTTCGCAACCAGCCCTCAGAATTTCCAAACCAGATGGGGTGAGGCTGCAACGAAGATGAGGGAGAGACAGGAAAACAAAGCTAATGTTGGAGGAATGGCAGGAGAAGAAAGGCCCAATGCTAGCAACAAATGTCTAAAAGAATGTTTGGAAGCCAGGTGGTGGTGGCACACGCCTTTAATCCTAGCACTCAGGAGGCAGAGTCAGGCAGATCTCTGTGAGTTCGAAGCCAGCCTGGTCTACAAGAGCTACTTCCAGGACAGCTAGGGCTGTGACACAGAGAAATCCTGTCTCGAGAAACCAAAAAAAAGAAAAGAAAAGAAAGAAGAATGTTTTGAAGCAATAATAGAATGTCCAACATAACAGCCAGCTTAGAATAAACCAACCGACGATCAACCAAAAGAAAAGGTGGGGTGGGAGGGGGGGCAGGTTCCTGGAACGAATCACCATTATCCATTCAGATAGGTAGCATGGTTGGTAACAGCTCTTCCTGGTACCTGATGCCAATCCAGATGACCATTTGAGTGAAAATGGATTGTCTCTGAGGTCCTGCGTCACAGTTCTTGGTCCAAAGGGAATAAGAGATATTTCTTCTAAGCCAACTATTGTTGGGCCTCATGAGGCCTGGGAATGAGGCCCAGTGTAACTTCCTAAGCCTAACTTGAGTTTGGTGAGACCTAGTGTAACTTCTTGAGCCTAGCTCAATTTTGGAGACCCGCCTCTGGCTACCTGGCCTAGGCCTGCTTCTGCCCAGTCACTGCAGAATATTACTGGCCCTTGTTCCTTACTCTGCCATCCCAGGCTTCCCACCGCCTATCCCAGCCTATATAAGATCCTGCTTGATGCAATTAAACGAGATCCTGCTTCAACAGACTCCTGACTCAGTGGCTGTGCTTCTCTCCGGTGGTCAGGGGCGAGGGCTGGGTTGTTTCACACTCAACATCCTGCTCAGTGAGTCCGGCTCTGCCCCTGCTCTTACTGCCAGAGAACCCGGGTGCCCCGTACGGAAGACTCGCTGATAGGCCAATCAGTCTGCGGGTGAGTGTACCCCCGTTAAAGATGGGGCAGTCCTCTTTTAAACAAAATCCTGCCCTCAGCCAATGCTGTGAGAAGGCCAACATGCTCCCACCTGAATCTTGGCCTGCTGGGACCTAAGGGACCAGGTGGAACACAAGCTCAGGTGACATAGCCTTGTACAGGGTGGCCGGCCGCTTTTGGCCTGGTAGCAGGCATCATCCTCATACTTCTGTTGTGCTGTCGCTACTGAGTGCTCTGCCCGCAGAACTACAGGCAGCCCGGCGGTGGGCCGCACAGGCGGTGGATCCTGGGAAGAAAAGAACGTGGCTCCTGTGGCCGAGGGCGCAGAACTCCAACCGCGTGCTGTTGGGGATAGGAAGCATTTACCCGCCCCAGGGCGACTGGCTGTGGGAGGCACAGGGGTGGGCAGCGGCCTGGCAGGCAGCTGCTGGGCCACTTTGACTTCCCCATCCCCTTCATTCTCATCTTGCTCCAGGAAGGCCCCGAGCCACGATAACCTGGGCTTCGAGGCCTAGGAGGATGATGATGACTACGACGGTGAGTTGGAGGGGGAGGACTGTCCCTCTGGACCCCCTACCCCCCCCCCCCGCTCTCTAGGGGATTGAGTCCAGACTCCAAACCGGGGGGGGAGGGGGGGAGTGCCTCCTCTCCCTTCCAATGTCCTCTACTCAGCAGCCCGAACTGCGGGGGGGGGGGGTCTCCAAACCTGAGGACCAGAAGGGAGGCAGAGTCCCAGGCTCATCCTCCCGGCATCCTAGCACCAGCAGCAGAAGGCTCGAGGTGGTCCCTCCTCCACTGGCTACCAAGCCTTTCAAGACCCTGAAACGTGAGGCTGGCTTGGAACAGGTGCTGGAGAAGTGAGCAGTACAAGACGAAGATGCTGGTGGCCAGGCAAACTCACCTGGTGCTGATCAGAGAGGAAGCGGGAGCGCCTGATGTCAAGCTCTCAGGCTGGGCGGATGCTGTGATCTTCATCTTCAGCCTGGAGGAGGGGAGCAGCTCTCCAATGAGGAGGTTTGGTCCTGGCTCTGGTTGGGACCCAAGTCAGGATCAGTGTTCCCTCTCCTCAAATGGAGGTGGTCCGTCCAGGAGGTGGTAATTTTGCACAAACAGCAACAACTCCTGGCTGCCTGCAAGTCCCTGCACAGCTCACCAAGCCATTCAGCCCCTTCAACTCCTGTAGCCAGCCAGGCAGGCTAGTAACAGGGGCCACACTAGCGACGACTCTTCTTCACCGCAGGATCCCTACACAGAGCAGCCAAGTGAAGGATCAGCCTCTTTACAAACCATTGTGACAGTGACTCTGAAAAGCGGAGCTTAGACAATCGGGGAGAGACAACAGGAGTGGACGAGCCATCCCCATTACTCTTTCCGGTAATGGCTTTCTATTCTACCCTCCTGATTTTGCCTTAGGAAGAGCATCTGGCCCAGTGACCATCCTGATAAGTTTGTTTCCTCCTGTGCCCTTTGGCTGTTCTTAAGTGTAGACACTGGGGGAGATAGGTACGAATCCTGGTGTTGACTGGGGACCAGGTGCTAACCATCACCTTTTGCTTAGAAAGCTCCAGGTGCTGCTGCTGGTCCATGTCAGATGCTCACAGATGAGGCCATGTCAGCCTCTTCTATCTTGCCCTAGTCTTCTATGCCCTGTTCTTTGGCTGTTCCCATAAGACAAATGTCCTAGAGTTGGGTATCTTTAGTTCAGTGTCTTAAGAACTTCTCTTCCATGGCTGGAAGCAAGGATTCAGGCTGTTCCTAACAGCCTCTTCCACTGTGGAGGAGGAGACCGCAAACTTTTTATAGTCACAAAACAAAAGAAAGCCATAAACCACCTCATTTACCAAATATAAGGCAGAGCTTTATAGGCTTCAGATGCCATCTCCTAACACTCTAAGCTCCGGGTAGTGGGAGCCTGTGTCTGCTGCGTTTAACACCTTCCAAGAGTTATACCTAATAGACACAAAGATGTGAACTCCGATGTGGCGCTAGTAAGCAGCTGTTAAGTGGAACTAAAGATAGCCCGGCGTCATTCTGACTCACACCGCACAACATTCTGTCTCTTCACAATCTGAAATTGTAGTTCAGCCGTCCGCCTGCAGGATCTTCACCCAGATACGGCTTCTTCCGGGAAGCATCAGTTCATAGTGCTTTCCTAGCGCAGAAATAAAACAGTATTTTTTTCTAAAACAAAGTCTTGCCCTACGAGAGGCACCCCACACCCCTAGAGTCCATGTCCTATCTCCTACTCAATCTTTGGTGCAGCAGGTGTGTGTGTGTGTGTGTGTGTGTGTGTGTGTGCCAGGCAGGGCTAGGGATCCAGCAGCAAACTAACCCAGCAGCTGTCGAATGTCTGATACTGCCTTAACCCTCTTAAGCCTTTGTACTTCCAGATTCTCTGATCTCATTCTCATTTGCACATGGAAATGAAGAACCCAGCCCTCCTCTAGGTTGCTTACAGTGCATCCTCAAATGGAGAACAAAATCTTGTTTCATAAGAGCTTTGTTGTAGGAAGCTGCGTGTTCATTTCCCGGCCATCCAGACTCCAGAAATAATCACACAGAAACCATATTATTTGCAATACGGTTTGGCCTATTAGCTCTAGCTTCTTATTGGCTAGCTCTTACATATTAATTTAACCCATTATTATTAATCTGTGTATCACCACATGGCTGTGGATTACCAGGTAAAGTTCCGTTGTCTCTCTGGTACAGCTACATGGCTTCTCTCTGACTCTGAATCCTTTCTCCCAGCATTCAGCTTAGTTTTCCCCCATCTACCCTAGTCCTGCCTTGCTATAGGCCAAAGCAGTTTATTTATCAACCAGTGGTATTCACAGCACACAGAGGGCAATCTCACATCAGAGCTTTCTCACAGAGAGGGGCTGGGTTTGTGGCTCAGTGGTAGAGCACTTGCCTAGCTCACACAAGACCCTGGATTCTATTCCCAGCACTGAAAAAAAAAAATGATACCTATTAAATGCCCTGTTTCAGATTGTATGCAAATATATAGTAGCTGTTAAATCCGGGCAAGCAGTTCTACTAAGGGGCACAGCACAGCAAGAGCTGTGGATTCAAGACGTCTTTTGGACACCAACAGGTACACAAGCGATGCTAAGTCGGTGGGTCTCGACCCATGGGTCGCCACTATCAGATATTAACATTATGATTCACAGTAGCAAGGAAAATAATCTTAAACTTGGGGGACTCACCACAACATGAGGAATTGAACTAAAGGGTTGCAGCATTAGGAAGGTTGTGAACCATTGCTCTAAGTGAATCAATGAGAGAATGGAGTTAGGAGAGAAGGACTCCCGGGGCCCTAAGGTGGTCCCTGGAAGAGGGAGAGAGTCTCTTCAATGGTGTGGTCTCAGAATCAGGAGTCTATGCTCCCTTAAACAACCTCTCAGCTAAGACACCGTAAGCAACCCTGATGAAGCTCATCAGGTCATCCAAATCCACTAACCAAAAGCAGAAAAGGGGACTAGGTAGAAAGAGGAAGGGGATGCCGAGGGAGTGGGACAAGAGAGGATAACAGGTTGTGTGTGTAGGAAAATGCCAGAATGAAACTCATTACAGGTATCATTAGCATATGCAAATAAGAAGAAAATTAGAGCCCGGAGATGGCAGAGTGGATAAGCATTTCTATATGAAAACTGAAGTTTATAAGCTCCAGTTTATAGAACTTTTGAACCGAAGTCAGGAGACCCCTGGAGCAAGTTGGCCAGCTAGAGGAGAGATTTCAGAGAACCTGCCTAAATAAATAGTCGATAGGAATTGTGGGATGTCAATGCCTGTGAATAGCCATGTAAGAATAGCACCAGCATACACATGAACACACACAGAGAGACACAAATACACAGATACACATTCAAAAACTAATTTTTTAAAAAAAAAGTCTACAAACCAGGTTTGCTGGAGCAAGCCTTTAATCCCACCAGTGAGCAGTGGAGGTGGGAGGATTAAGAAATTCAAGGTCATCCTTAGTTACTCACTGAGTTCTAGGGCAGCCTGGGCAACCTATGGCCGGGTTTCAAAACAAAATAAAAGAATGGTTCAACAAATCTAGACTGACCTAGGTCGAATAACTATGTCATGGAACCTTGTAATCTAGGGACAACAGAATGTCAAATCCCTCCTAGTTAGTGAAGGTAGGATGCGGGAGGAAACTGCCTCCAAGACACCACACTTGCAGGCAGGCACGCACACCAAGATAAGCCGGAGGAGGCAGGAGCCAGGAAGAACCAAGCAGGGTCACCGCCCCACGAGGTGTGGCCCCTGCAGGCAGCCAAAGTCTCCTGCTCCCAGGTTCCTCTTGTTTGCTTACTACGCCCTACCTGGAGCCCAAGTCATTGACTCCGCCCTCTGAACCCCAGGAAAATCTAGATGACCTGGGAGATCCGTTTGTGCGTTGGTGTGGGACTTCTAGGGTCTGCGGGCCGGAGAAATTCGGGTGCGGGGAGTGACGCCTTGCAGGAGACTGCCCCGCCCCCTCCCCCCCTCCGCCTGATTTCGTTGAGGAGGGAGCCGCCCCGTTCCCGCCCCTAACTGGCCCGGCGGATCTAGGAGGTGGAGACCGAGTCGACCTGCAGAGATGGAGGCAACCAGCACCTGGGCACTACTGCTGGTGTTGCTGCTGCTGTTGCTGCTGGCGCTGGCACTGCCCAGGACACCAGCCCGAGGCTATCTACCTCCGGGGCCCACCCCGCTGCCGCTGCTGGGGAACCTCCTGCAGCTGCGTCCCGGGGCGCTGTACTCCGGGCTCTTGCGGGTGAGGGGACGTGGGAACATCCTAACCGGAGAGGGGGAGCGCGGGGGGCGGGTGGTGGTGGAGATCTCCTGAGTGCCTGGGCTCTGCAAGAGTCTTGGGCTTTCTTAGGAAAAAGGTAGAGGCAGCGGTCTTCGGGGCAAAGGGACTATGAATGAGCGAACTGGAGGGTAAGCCAGGGGAGGGTGCCCAGGTTGAGAAGGGCAGAGCTCACGCAGTCCTGGAGGCAGGACCAAGGGGGAAAGTGATCCCTGAAGGGGCAGGGGCAGGTAGTTCTGTGCTAAAAAAGGGACGGAATGTCCTGGGAAGGAGACTAGAGGTGGGGGGAACACAGCTCATAGAGATCTAGAAAGAAATGGGACCGGGGCCCAGAGGGGCAGGGGTCCCAGGTCTCAAGAACCCACAGAATACTGGGAAGGTAGTGAGCTGAAACCAAAACTGTAAAGCAGGCGCTCTCTAAGGCAAGGATGGTAGTGGACGAGTTTGTGCCCAGTACCCCTGTTGGGAGGGAAACATCTGGAAGCCTGTGGAGGCTGGAGGGGGCTGAGCAGAGAGCATCCTGGGCTTAAGGAATCTGCCTCAGAGACTCCCGGAGTGGGAGGATGGGTGTAGCTCAGCTAGGAGGGAGCTGGGAGTTCCTGCCACCGGGTGGGAGGATGGGGAGGCAGTCCCAACCTGCCTGGGGTAGTGGGGGATGAAGCATTCCATTCAAAAATATTCTGAGGGACATTTAAGGACAGAAAAAGGGGGTGGGCGTCTAAGGGAGAGATGGGACGCATGTTCCACTGAAACTGCTGTGGGATTTAGGGTTTAGCAGAGGTTGAACTGGGTAGCTGGGTACTGGGGAAAGGGGTGGAAATGGAAGCTGATTGTGGATGGCCCCAAGATCAGAGGTTAGAGCCTGGAAGTGAGAGGGAAGACATAGGATGTGTTGAAGAAGAACCTACGCCACACTCCCATGCAAGAAAAAGAACAACTTCCCAAACAGGTATTTTTGCTTGGGATGGCAAAGGAACCAGTTCCTGGTATAGGGGGCAAAAGCCAGACCACATGACTTACCCGAGGACAGGGCTTGGAACTAATGCAGCCTGCCTGGCAGAGGCAGCTCCCTGGGGCCAGTCACCACCCTCTTCTCCCTTTCTGCCCCCAGCTAAGTAAGAAGTATGGGCCTGTGTTCACTGTACACCTGGGCCCCTGGCGCCGCGTGGTGGTCCTGGTTGGCCATGATGCCATAAGAGAGGCCCTGGGAGGTCAGGCTGAGGAATTCAGCGGGCGAGGAACGTTGGCAACGCTGGACAAGACTTTTGATGGTCATGGTGAGTCATGAGAGCAAATGGGGGCTGCTGGGTCCTGCCCCGCTTACAGGTGTGGAGGTTAGTTTTGCAGGTGACTGGTGCCTCGCTTTCTTTCTCTATGAAAGGGGATGATAGTGGTGACTGTCATTTAGGGTTGCACTGAGGATCCAGTGGAAACTGGGCTTGCAGCCTACAGTGATAGTAATCACTACTCCGTGGTCTGTGAACTGATAGGCAGGCCAGCCTGGGATACATAGTAAGTTCAAGGCCAGCTTGGGCTACTTAGCGTAAGACAGTGTGACCCCCGTCCTCTAAAAACCAGGACTCCGTGGCAGGACATGCACAGAACCCACAGTGATGGTCACAGGTCATGTTCTGTAGAGACTACTTGTCTAGAATCCCTCAGTAAGGGGCTGGGGGTGAGGCTCAGTGGTAGAGCCCCTGCCTAGAATCCTCCAGTGAGGGGCTGGGGGTGAGGCTCAGTGGTAGAGCCCCTGCCTAGAATCGCCCAGTGAGGGGCTGGGGTGTGTCTCTGGTAGAGCCCCTGCCTAGAATCCCCCAGTGAGGGCCTGGCCAAGGGGCTCATCAGTGTTTGCCTAGACTTCACCAATGAAGGCCTGGGGGGCGGGGGAGGCATGTCTTCCTCCTGGTTTGTGTAGGGCCACAACTTCCATGCCCAAACCAAAAGAGAAAGAAGAGGCTAGGGGGCCCTAAATGTAGAAATAATTCTTCATTCAGACAGAATATGTAGCATTGCACAGCCCTGAGTACAGAAGAGCCTGGCAGCACGGTGGTGACTAAGATAGCGCTGCCTACTTCCCCTAGAGCATCCAGACAGACCTGTCATCAATCAGACAGTGACCACAGGGAGAGGAACTGGCCAGTATGGGAGGGGCAAGCTAGCATGGGGGGATAGCTAGGATTCTAGGAATCCACAGGCAGGCTCTGACCCAGCCTGTTCACTGTGGGATGCCCACACTGAGGAAGGGAAGTTGTGTCCCATGCAGGACATGCCTATGCTCACACACAGAGGAGGACACATTCCTTCAGCCCACAGACTCCGGGTGCGTGTCCCTGTCCTAGGTACTGAGAAAACAGAGCTGACCAAGGCAGATGCAGTGTCTTCTCACTGTGAGGGCTTTGAGAGCAGGACGGAGGGGGGGGGGGCTGAACTGGCGTGGGGCAGGGCTGGAGGGTTGAAATACAAAGGATGGAGTTCACCAAGCACAGTGAAGCAGCTGAGAGCCGTTACTCTTTAATTCAAGTACTTGATAGGCTGAGTCAGAAGAGTTGCTAGGAATTCAGGCCAGCCTGGGCTATATAGAAAGACCCTCTCAAAAAAATCATAGACAATTAAAAGTGAAAGAATGGGGTCTGGAGAGATGGCTCAGCAGTTAAGAACACTTGCTGCTCTTAGAGAGTTTTGTTCCCAGCACCCATATCAGGCAGCTCGCAACAGCCTGTATTCCAACTTCAGAGGCTCTGACAGCCTCTTCTCCAGCCTCTCCAGGCACTTGAACACACATGAACATACAAATAAAGAATAAAGTTAAGTAAATTTTTTTTGAGACCAGATTTTTTTTTGACTGTCCAGGAACTAGCTCTGTAGACCAGGCTAACCTTGAACTACAGAGATCCACATACCTCTGCTTGAGTGCTGGGATTAAAGGTGTCCACCACCACCACAACCACCTGACCAAGTAAATCTTTTAAAATAAATAAAAGGATAAGCTGCAGCTAGAGATGTATTTAAGTGGTAGGGTCCTCTCAGAGTCCCCCAGTGAGGGGCTGGGTGTGGCTCAGTGGTAGAGCCCCTGCCTAGAATCCCTCAGTGAGGGGCATGGGTGTGGCTCAGAGGTAGAGCCCCTGCCTAGAATCCCCCAGGGAGGGAGTAACTGGTGTGTGGCTCAATGGTAGAGCCCCTGCCTAAAATCCCTCAGTAAGGGGCTGGGTGGGGCATGACTCACTGGTAGAGAGATTATCATGTGCAGTGACCTAGGTTCATGGTCAAGAGCCCCTAAAATGTTGGAGGGCCAGGAGCATGATACAGACAGAGAAACAGCAAGGGCCCAGGTCGAGGTGAGCGATCATGATGCTTTGAGGAAATGAGAGATGTTGTAGTAGATGATTAATAAAGCTAAAAGTCAGCGTGACTCTGGCCACCTTGCAAGCCTGTGAGTCACACCAGAGCAGCTGGGCTTCTGGTTTTCTGAGGGCTGTGCCTTTCCAACAGGGAAAGACTGCAAAGTGAGTAAAACTGAAGGCTGGAAGCCCAGGGAGAAGCCAAGCTGGACCAGGGCAAAGGCTAAGCGAGAGATGCTATTTGGAAGAAACAAGAGCCAGAGAGGCCTAAGGCTCTGTTCAGCGGATGGATGGTGGGGCTGAGGTGGGGAGGGGAACTGTTTGCAAGCTAGTTTCAGACATGAGGGGGCCAAGGACAGCTTCCAACTGCCACTTCAAGCCAGCCTTCAACAAGAGTCATAGCACTGAGCTCAGAAGGGGAGGTCTGTGCCGAATGGGTGTCGTGGGTAAAGGAGAAGACAGCATACTTCCAACCTTCTTTTCTCACCATGGCCTCATCTGCCCCATGTGCTGGGATGGGCAGATGGGACAAGGAGAGATGAAAAGGTGATGGGGGAGGGGTAGCCACCCATTCATGAGACTGTCTCCTCTGGTTTAAGCTCAAAGGATAAAAATCTAATTCATTTATGCACCTATGGAGTTCTCGGCACACACACACACACACACACATGCATACACACACAGAACACACACACACACACACACACCTGCCAGGCTGGTACAGATTCAGGGCAGAGCCCTGGGAACATCTCCCTGGGAGGAAGGAGCCAGTTCCTTCTTGAATCCAGCCTTCTGTGCAGGGGTTTTCTTTGCCAATGGGGAGCGGTGGAAACAGCTGAGGAAGTTCACCCTACTCGCACTACGGGACCTGGGCATGGGCAAGAGAGAAGGCGAGGAGCTGATCCAAGCAGAGGTGCAGAACCTGGTGGAGGCCTTCCAGAAGACAGAAGGTCAGCAGGGAGGGGCCAGCAAATGCTTCCAGCCAAGAGGAAGAGGAACCATCTCCATTGTTCCCGGGGGGGGGGGGGAGGGGGAAAAGGGGGGGGAATCTGATGGGGGGCAGGCGGGAGGGGGTTGCTCACCTCCACACCGACTGAATCCTTCCATACCTGGGGGTGCCACACAGCTCTTTCTGTCCCTGGCTCTGTCCCTGGGACATTGGCAGCCTTCACCCAGCCTCTCTTTCTCTCTCTCTCTCCCTCCCCCTCGCTCCTTTCTTCCATCTTTACCCCCTACCTGCTTTGTCTTATTTAAGATGGAGGAATTTCACTAGTAGGGCCAGGCTGAC